CGTAGTAAGGGCGATAGTACGAGCTAAGCCTGGTAACATCCCCCGGTCGGCGAACACACCTACACGAAAAGATAAATTGCTCTCCCAAAACCCCCATTTAATTCCCGACCGTAACACAGTAATCCTAAAAAAAAGTTAAACTTAAATATTAGCACTTGTTACAGCATTAATACTTGGCTTAAACCATTAAGACCTGAATTTATTTCATAAACAATTTTTTATTGACAATTAAATATATCATTTTCAGCTATAAAGATTTAAAAAAGACATTCATATTGTAACTATGCACCAATTCTAATCAAAATGAATCAAACAAGAAGTTGATGCTAGAGCCTTTGCCAATGCTGCTGTTCCTGTGTCTCCAATATTATTGCTGTTCAAATCCAAAGAAATCAGAGAAGAATTTGATTCTAGAGCCTTTGCCAAAACTGCTGCTCCTGTGTCCCCAATATCATTTTTATTCAAATTTAAAAAAATCAGAGAAGAATTTGATTCCAGAGTCTTTGCCAAAGCTACTGCTCCTGTTTCTCCAATTTGATTCCAAAACAACTCCAAAGAAGTCAGAGAAGAATTTGATTCTAGAGCCTTTGCCAAAGCTGCTGCTCCTGTGTCTCTAATTTGATTCCAAGACAACTCCAAAGAAGTCAGAGAAGAATTTGACTCCAGAGCCTTTGCCAAAGCTGCTGCTCCTGTGTCTCCAATTTGATTCCAAAACAACCCCAAAGAAGTCAGAGAAGAATTTGATTCTAGAGCCTTTGCCAAAGCTGCTGCTCCTGTGTCTCCAATTTTATTCCTTCTCAAATTCAAAGAAGTCAGAGAAAAATTTGATTCCAGAGTCTTTGCCAAAGCTACTGCTCCTGTTTCTCCAATTTGATTATATCCCAAATTCAAAAAAGTCAGAGAAGAATTTAATTCCAGAGTCTTTGCCAAAGCTGCTGCTCCTGTGTATCTAATTAGATTCCAAGACAACTCCAAAGAAGTCAGAGAAGAATTTGACTCCAGAGCCTTTGCCAAAGCTGCTGCTCCTGTGTCTCCAATTTCATTCCCATGCAAATTCAAAAAAGTTAGAGAAGAATTTGATTCCAGAGCCTTTGCCAAAGCTGCTGCTCCTGTGCCTCCAATTTGATTCTCTTTCAAATCCAAAGAAGTCAGAGAAGAATTTGATTCCAGAGCCTTTGCCAAAGCTGCTGCTCCTGTGCCTCCAATTTTATTCTGATGCAAATCCAAAGAAGTCAGAAAAGAATTTGATTCTAGAGCATTTGTTAAATGTGCATATCCAATCTCTTTTAATATTTTGTTTAATTGAGCTGAGGAGGTTGATTCTAAAGCCTTTGCTAAAGCAATTATTTCTGTGTCTCCAATATTGCACCTATGCAAGTTCAGTGCTTTACCAAATTGTTCATTATACAAACACTTTAATTGTTTATATATTTCTTCACTTGATGGTCTTTTGTTTGGATCACCATCCCAGCATTTTGAATATAGTTTAATGTACTCTTTTGGTGTTTCTGCAGAAGGAGGGTCTCTCAAGCCTCTCAATCTATATAAAATAATTTCAAAACTTTGAATACGTCCTTCACATGGCCGTTTTCCACTTGAAATTTCCCATAATACTACTCCAAGACTGAAAATGTCTGACTTTTTCCCTCGTCTATATGATAATGATTCATTTTCAAAAGCAACAGGATCAATATATGCTGTGTTGCCTTCACCTTTTGATGTAGAAATAGATTGCTTTAGCATACTGGACAGACCAAAATCAGTAATTTTTGCAACACCTCCTTGAATCAGAATATTTGCTGAAGACTACACAACACAACAAATAAAATCAGGCATTATTATAACATAATACATAATAATTATTATAATTAAATCATTATTTTCCATACTAGCTTACCAAATCCTTGTGAATAATATCAAGCACATGCAAGTACTTCAACCCATTTGTAATGTCTAGACCCAAGTTATATTTCTCTTTCCATGTTAAATCCTTAAATTTGTTTACTAAGTATGCCAACAGACTTCCACCATCAGCAAATTCAAAAACCATGTGATAGTGTTGATCTGAATCTACCCGTATTTAGCAGAATAAGCCATCGATATTTACACTTTCAAATTACATTCCTTGTAATAATATACTGACCTTTGCATAAACCTAAAAATCGGATAACGTTTGGATGGTCATCCACCTTCCTGTGAGCTTTCAGCTGACATGCATAAATACTTATTGTCAGATACATGTTACTGAGATGACAAGCAACAACAGCAGTAATCACAAACCTCATTGACAAACTTTTTGTACAATTCTTGCTCATCGGTATACACTTCCAGCAATAACATCTTCATTGCAACAGTTATGCCCGTATGTTTCAACTTTGCCTTGTACACAATTCCAAATCCACCACGGCCGACAACCTTACGGTTTAAGATTTCACTTTCTGAGTAGCACTTGACCATCCCATCTTCAGTTATTTTGTCTAGCAAAGTCTTATCCATGCTTGTTAATGTTTCATTCAACATCGTATCGATTATCTGAAGTGCTCCGTAAGATCGTTTCATTGCATGTCGTACGACACACCCAATGTCACACAGATAACGTGTGCATATTTTGAGCTATGAATTTCATTCAAAGCGAAAAGGTTTATGAACTATATCTGCATATAATAACCAAATTAGTAAAATCAAGTTAGCATGGCGGTTTTTTCGGCATCGACTTTATAAAAGTCGAATATCGAAAGCTTATTCTCTTTCTCACACTTTTCGGTTTGAAAGCATCAGTATAATTTTCGATAAGCCTATTTTGAGCATTAATTCTTATAACCGTTATAGCGTTGATTTATTATTTTTATTCACTATTTTATTACCATTTTCAGATCCCTTGCGGATAAACTAAAAACCGGATTAAAGATATTCTAAATCTCATTAGGGCGAAAATCTCTTGCCCTAATATAGCAAATTTAATCATCGTTTAAAAATAACCCTCGCTATAAGAAATTTCATAAGAAAGAAATTTATTGGGTCCGACCATTTCTCATTTCGGGAGCCCCCTTGTTTGTTTATCCAACAATGAACTATCGACTGACAGTTGTTTAAGCGATAATTAAGTTGCTGCTTATTAGTAAACTATCCCATTTCTATTCTATATTAGTAATATTATTCATCATTAGCTTGAATGCGAATAACAGTTGCTGAACTATTTACTATGAATGATTTCGTTCCGCAACTTTAAAGTAAAAAGACGTTTGCACAAGTTCTTGGTCTATGGTATGGTTCAGTCTGACAAGCTCTGATTGCATGCAGCAGGCGGCATTTACATTATATCGTACAAGAAACAGCTTATCAGGCATGTTAGACATTGTCGAATTGGAGAAATATAAAATAATACGTCGTTTATTTCTCGTGGAATCATTGGTAATAACTTGTTGGGTGTAAATTTTAAATAATGGGAGCCTTATAGATTAAATTACAATCCTACATAAGGCTTTTGTAATGATGTCAGATTTTGAAGGATGGACTCTATTTTAGTAACAATTGAGATTTTGTACATACTACAGTTAGAGCTTATTGCCTTTCGTAAATTCAAAAATAGTTGTAGAACAACGATTACAATGATGCGCTCGACCTATCACTGCCTATGTTGCGAATGTAAAAGTAAATTATACAAATTAACTACAATTGGTTATCCGATTATCGAACATTCCCATAATAATAACCACTGTAAAAATAAACCCCACGTTTTATGCTAACTATAGGAAAAGTTAACCCAAAACTAACCGGATTTTTTTTCTAGCCCAAATGGTTTAGCGATTTGTTGTTTATCTTTTGCCCCTTGCAGGAATATAACAAAAAGTATAATTGATCGATCCAATGGGTGCTGCCAAACGATATGTCATCCATTAATCACGTGTACTTGTGATAATTTTTAATATAAAATGTTGTGCAACGGGGAATCAAGGAAGTTAGCGATACTAAGCCAGAATTGGGGCACTGGCAGGAAGGTTTCCCATGAGTGTGAGTATGTGCATATTAATATTTGTTCCCACCACCCATTGACGCTATACGTTGACCAATGACGCTTATTTTGGCCAAGAGGAGAAGTTGAGAAGCATATTTTCTATCCTTTAGAGATTCCAACTATTGTTTAAAAGTACGAGCAAAAGCTACTCTACAAAACAAACGATTACGTATGTAAAATTTAACGCTCAATTAGCAAATATGGCTATTCATAGCCTAGTGCTTCTAAGAATCTATTCGTCCTCTGCCCATGTGCAGATGACAAACAGCTCAAACAGGTAATGTGAATAAACGAAAACGTTTGCATCTCGGAGAATAGTTCTGAAAACGACATGTTTATTAACAGACTATCGACCATATAGTGTATAATTTGATATGGGTGGCTTGACAGATTTCGTTTCGAAAAGCGTTTCCGTGTAACCATTTTAAAAATGGAGATTGCGTATAAAGTCCCGTGGATGCATCATTACTTTTTCTCCTTTGGGATAAACTAGTACTATTTGATTTAATTAATCATTCCAAGACGATCTGATTGTGTAAGGGTCTCAATGTAATCGATGTGGGATACAGTTTGTGACACTAACGTGCATGAGGAGTCCTAATGCAATCGTGCACCATATGTGGTATAGTATCAAACTCACAAGGGAATTAGTGCCACGTTATCATACGCACAAGGAAAGTCGTATCACGTTTGCTAACGGATCAGCCCTAATCCTAATGCAATCAATGCCATAAAGCGCGAAGACGATTACATCAAAACACATATTGTATACGTTTACGATTACTCAAGAAATAGCCTGTTTTAATATCTATATAAACAACACTTTTGCTCATTTCTCTCCCCCAGAAAACACTCAACGTTCAAAACAACTAGAAGACTTGACTTTTAAATAATCAAACGCTACCATGACTACTTGTCAATACGTTCCAATTAAACCAGCAACTCCAATTGACACTCGTTCTTCCTCTTCTGATCAATCTTCTGTTGATCCATTTTCCTCTGACCTACCTCTCGCTTCCCCAACCGACAGTCCTCTCACGCCATTTGAACAAAATCTTGTTCGCACCCCACCGTATATCCTCACTCTTCCGCCAGAATCTCTGCTCGATCCAACGAAAAAACAACGTAAAAATCGTGTTAGAAAAAGCTCATGTCCTCCTCGTCCTCAAAACGCCTGGGTGATCTTTCGCAAAAACTTTGAAGGCAGACTACGTGCACAAGATCATAGCAAGACTTATACCATTCAAGACATTTCTAAAATGGCCGGAAAAGATTGGAAAAACCAGCCAATTGTAGTCAAGCAGTATTTTGACGCACTTTCCAAGTTGGCTCAGCAGCGACACAAAAAGGCTTATCCCGATTACAGTTACAGGCCGAAAAGAAACAAAGCAGAAAAAAAGCAGGCGGGTTGGTCGTTTAAAGAAATCAACAAAGATAAACTCGCGGGACGTGGACAGGGCAAAGGCCCAAGTCCAGATGAAGGAAAAGTGGAAGGAAATGATAGCAACGAACATATTGATGTTAATGTTTGTGACGACGTAAATGAATATGATGAATCAGCTGTCGATCGTGTGGATAACCATGACATCGGAGAGCAGTATTTGGACTTGCAATGCGAAAACAATGAAAGCGTGTGTGCCGGTAATATTAACGAACATTATGTGAGAGAGAACTCGTACAACAAAATTACTCAATTTGACGGTATTCTTGATACACTTGATACACTTGAGCCCTTTGTATCACCACAACCAAACACCCTTCACAGTAACTGGAACAACTACGAGACATCAACAATCCATAATACCACTCTATTTGCAAATATTACTAATATTACCAACAATCTACCATCAGACAATACATACCAGACAGTCAGCGTGGGCGATCACGACTTTTTAAATATTCCCAACAATGGTTCATCAACCTGTTATCCTGCCGCTCAGGTGCTTATTCAGCTGCCTCCTTCTGCTATCCTTTGTCACACCGCAAACGCTGCAGATCATGGATACAACTTTCAACGGTGGGACGAAAGCGGAATGTATGTCAGCAACGGGTTTGATGTTTATTTTGGATAAATTAGATAGATTGTATAGTAAATATTTATGTTTAATAATCATTGGCTAAGATCTTTTAGTGTATTAATATATGAAAAACTACAAACAAAACAAACAGGTCATGCAAATACTTTTGTATCAAGATTTTTTATATCTATTTAAAGCCAGTCTAAGAGAAATGTAACAGTTTATGTAAAAAAAAGTCTCTATGTCAAAGTTTTATATTGATTCTATTTAAAAACAAGAAATTATGTATTAGTATTGCAGTTTATTGCGAGTTATAAGCTTACAAACACAACAGAAATATAAATTCAATGAACATACGGTCATATGATCTCAATATACGATGGGCAACCAATGAATAAATGATAATTCATTTTGTGAAACGAAAGGTTTATGTCATGAAAGATCATTCAGGCGAAATACTTCCTTTACAGCAGACCACTCGTCATTCCTTCGAAGCTGACTCGGGAGATCCGATAGATGGAAATAAAACGTAATATCACTAAAATAAGGACAGTGTGTTAGCGTATGTTCTACTTAGATCAATCTGTCTTTCGGGAAAGAAGAGTCGGAATACCATCCTCAATTAGAATGCTGTGTATCGTACCACAACAAAACCAATTTGCTCAAACTCGAAAGATGGCACGTTTTCTAAAGGCCGTGTTGGCAAAGTTCGTCAAGAAGAGGGATTAATAATACCATTTTCGACAGCAATTTTAAACGCGGATCATCTCCATAGTAATAATAGATAATCAAACCCCCAAACACGTGTAGATCATGGATGACCGCCAATCCATTACCATTAATAACTCGTACTGTTTCATTGTTATTCAAACATGAGACGACATGGAAGTGTATATATATAGCGTTGTCTCCTATCATGTCTGCAGTGCATCAAGTTTATCAAACGATCATCTCCAACCATAACAATTTTCCATACGGATTAACATTTCAAACTCTTTGTTTTCCCTTTCCAGGACGGGGAATGATAATAGTAGCAATAGCAATGATTAGGAAAATGACCTTGATGTAATTAATTGTAAAATGAGTCGGAAACGTTCTAGTCGAATAAAAAAGATTGATTATTGCTGGAACAAAAAAGTGTTGTAGGGTTTCGTAGTACCTTGAATCTTGACAGTTGGCGTAACTGACTACGAGATGAAGATATTCCGATCGATTCTAAACAGAAAACTCACAACGTCATACGAACGCCTTGCAAGGGGTTCGAATGTATAATTGAGACGCCAACATTTTAAATCTATTGCTCGACAACAATCAGCGTAATAGTAGCTTGCTTGTTACATTATTTGAACACGCAATAATATATCCGATTACTTAACCGTTAGTGCTCAACGATGATAGTAATAGTCTTGCAATTTTCAGTTGATCTATTCTTTGCTTTCACAATTCACGATTACTTTTGGTCCATGAGTTCCTCGTCTAAATTAAGGTTGTATCTTCCAACTCCTGGATTTACGTTTCTCTTTTAGAAGTTTTTTCTTTCCATTTCTCCTTGACAAATCTTCTTGTAGGGGCAAAATGCTTATCTGATAAGTTCGAGATAATCAGTTATCCGATGCCAAGCAAACGTTTAATCACCGTCATGCATTAGTCAAAACCGTGACCATTTTTGGAATGTCCATTTTGATGTCACATGCGATATACAAGTGTCTTTTTGTAGAATCATATATAGTAAAACAGACGTACATTTTGTGACGTGAAAAGACGGCCCTAACTGTTCCTTTACCGAGCCTGCCCAAGATCTTAACTTACAGTACGTCAAACAAAGAAGTAAATATTCGGTAGTTAAGATAATTGGCTAATTAACAATAATATGTACTATAAACTAAAGCTTTTATGGAAAATAAAAAATTTTTGATTAAATATCAACAAACATATAGTATATTATATTACGAGTTAAAATACTGAAGAGGAGATTCAAAACCAGAGTGGTAGATCCCGAGCTGCATTACAGAAGTACTAAATAAAGGCGGTATTTTCGACGAGATAAGATACGAAAGCACTTTACGATTAATCAATGACTAGAGTCGAGATACATAAATGTTATCCAAATTACGCCAATTTACGCTTTATCACCAATAAAAAAGCGAGGCATTTGCGTTGGAGACAGGTCGTTCTCTTCAGCTGATGAAGAAGATGATGGTGAGCCGTGAGTACCGCAAAGGCGTCTTATCGTCGAAATAACGGTTCTTTGCTTCTTCCTGCGAATGATAATTATCTCCCAGAGAACATCATCCTTTCTTACGATTGCCCTGCACTTTTTTATGTTGATCAATTTTAGCGCTCACATCCCTGCAATACGGGACATTTCATCAATTCCCGACAAATTCACACGTACGACATTCATCGATCGAGATCGGGCTATAAAAGTGATGCCCAAATTGATGGTAAGAATTATAATTAAATTATTGCCTTTATATGCACAGAAGAATCTACGCTGATATTTCGGGATGAAGGCATAATTATAATCTCAAGCACAAATATAAACAACATGATAATCACGTTTTGAACAATCCCCTCAATTAGGAAATCTTTCCTGTATTATCATATCAGAACATTAATTTAAATCCCTTTGTTCCTTTGTTCAATATGAATGGAAGTCGAGTATGTCATTATCCACATTTGACAAGAGCAGAATTCGACGATGCGGCAAAACATTTCCTCGGACAAGCACATCATGCAGGAGGAGAGGATGCTGATTGGAGATGGATCGAACATGAGGTGATCGTTCGGAAACGTTTTGAAACGGTTTTTCGCTTGCTTGGGAACGATAGAATTTAATTCCCTTGCTTTTTATGTTAGAAAGTAAAAGGATTTGGATATCTGGCTACGAAAAGGATACTTTACAGGCCTGCCGCCCTCTATCACTCGATCGACCAAGACGATAAAGACACAGACTCTATAACCGTCAAAGAAGAACTTGATCAGAGCGTGAGTTGCGAGTTTGGTTGGCATTTTTCCTATAGGCAGTGTCATCATTAACTATTCATACGATTACTAATCTTACTGCGCTCGTTTGAATGTTCGTTCTATGTTTGCTACATTCTTTCGTCTTGTTCTTTGCAGTCTATCGACGTTCCATCAGAATGCTTGACTGTTGATTATCACATAATATACTCGTCTTCGTATCGCGTTCCCGTACTTTATTTTAACGCTTATTATTCAAATGGAAGTCCCTTGTCTATCGATGATATATTTTCTCACGTAATTGAACCATCACGTAGGGATGATCTTAGGGCAGCTGGGTTTAATGGGGCAGTGTCTCAGCAGGTAAGACGAGAACATAAACAGTCCTTGTTTTCTCCATCAAAAAATTGGCAGTGGTTTACATAAAAGACCTTTTTTTTTTCTGTTTAGGATCATCCTACTCTGATGATTCCATTCTATTATATTCATCCCTGTGAAACTCCCTCTCTGTTAAAGGCTATCGTTGACGACGCTCAGGAATCGAGAGAAAAGTCGGTTGTTCACGTTGATGGATATCTGCGCAGTTGGTTGAGTTTAATTGGGCCAACTGCTGGAATAAAAGCAGGAATCGGACTTTTTTCGGATCAAAGTTGAAACAAGGGATTTGCAATAAACATTAGACGTTGGCAAAACATGCTTTATTAATGAATTAATGATTATATTACAACGATCTTTTAAAGTGCTTTTCTTTTCTTGATACTTTCGCATCATTATCAACATGTCCCTGATTATCCTTCGTTTTAACACCCTCCGCTTCTGCCCTCGATTTACTCTTCTTTGCTTTTTTCTTCTCTTGACCTTCCGTGTCCTCACCCTCCCGTTTCACAATCTTGCTAACCATCTCATCCTCCACTTTTACTTTACGCATCTTCTTTTTATCATTCTTTGTATGATTCCTCTCATCTTCCTCATTCTCTTCAACCTTTCCTATCACTTTACGTTTATCCTTCTCCTTCTCTCCCTTCTTTTTGTCTTTCTCATTACTCCTCTCTACCACTTTATCTTTGTGTTTCTCCCTCTCTCCTTTCTCTTTACCTTTCTGTTCATCCTTTTCCTTCTCCTTCCCTTTCTCCATCACTTTATTCGTATGTTTCTCACTCTTTTCCCCCTTCCCTCTGCCTTTCTCCTTCTCTATCTCTTTGTTTTTGTGCTTCCCCCCCTCCCCTTTCTCTTTATCATTCCCTATCGATTTAATTGTCTTCTTTGAGCTTTCCCCTTTCTCTTTCGTATTCGCA